ACAGGGTTTCCAAGGCTGTAAATCTTTACAGAAGCAGAAAACCTCATCTTTCTCCCGCGGAACAGCTGGTAGTTTCAAACTGCTGACCTTGCGGTTCACAGCTCGATTCGATTCGTAACCACTACACTACAAGAACTCCTTTACTCTACAGGAAAGAAGACCTGGCCATGCATTTCTGTAATGAATTACAACCTTGGAAGCCCAATGGGACAGTTCTAACTCAGTTCTGTAGGGCCACTCTGAGTCAGAAACGACTCAATGGCAACTGATAAACAACTAACTTTAATACGGATTATCCAGGTTTACTGAATACAATCAGAAGGGTCCTTATAAGTAAAAGAGGAAGGTATGAAATCAAAGTGATGCATCACGAGAAAGACTTAACAGGCCACTGATGGCTTTGAACATGGAGGAAGGGGCCACCAGCCAAGAATTGCATGCAGCCTCTGTTGTTGAATGCCAACTAGTCAGTTCCGACTCATATACAGTGGCTGGTAGCTGGAAGAAGACAAGAAACAGATTCTCCCTTAGAGCCCCCAGAAGGAACATAGCCCTGCCAACACTTTGGTTTTAGGTCAGTGAAGCACATTTTGAGTTTCTGACCTTCGGAAGTGTGTAATAGTACATTTGTGCTGCTTTAAGCCTCCAACTTGTTACAGCAGCAATTGAGAACGAATACAATTGGTGTAAGGTTGGTGTGTAAGGTGCCATCAAGTTGGTTTGGGCTCATGGCAACCCTATGCACAACAGAACAAAATACTGTAAGATCCTGTGCCATCTTCACAATTGTTGCTAGGTTGGGACCCACTGTTGCTGCCACTTTGTTAATCCATCTCATCAAGGTCTTCCTCTTTTTCGATGACCTTCCATTTTATGAAACATGAGGTTCTTCTCTACGGCCTGGTCCCTCCTGATAACATGTCCAAATTAAGAAAGGCCAAGTCTGGCCATCCTTGCTTTTAAGGAGGATTCTGACTATATTTCTTCCAACACAGATTTGTTTGTTCTGATGGTCCATACTTTTAATAGTACTTTTAATATTCTTGTCTAACACAATAATTTAAATGTATCGATTCTTCTACAGTGTTCCTTATTCATAGTCCAACTTTCACATGCATTGTGAAAATACATGGTTTGGGTCAGGTACACCTTAGTCTTCAAACTGATCTCTTTGTTTATGTACATTTTAAAAAGGCCTTGTGCAGCACATTTGGTGTTTGGTTTCTTGATTGCTGCTTCCATCAGTGTCGATGGTGGATTCAAACAAAATGAAGTATTTGATAACTTCACTCTTTTCTCCTTTTATTTATTAGTCTAGCTGTGAGGATTATTGTTTTCTTTATATTAAGGTGCAATCCATATTAAAAGCTGTAGTCTTTGACCTTCATCAATAAATATTTCAAGTCCTCATTGTTTTCAGCAAGCAAGGTTGTATCATCTGCATATCACAGGTTGTTAATAAGACTTCTGCCAATCCTGATGGCATGTTTTTCATATAATCCAACTTCTCTCATTATTTGGTCAGCATCCAGATTGAATAAGTATGGTAAAAGAATACAACCCTGGTGCATACCTTTCCTGAATTTAAATCATTTGATATTCCCTTGTTCTGTTCTAAGGACTACCTCTTGGTCTATGTACAGGTTCCTCATGAGCACAATTAAGCGTTCTGTAATACCCACTCTTTGAAATGCTATCTATCCGTAACTTGTCATGCTCCATACAGTCAAAAGCCTTTACATAATGAATAAAGTACAAGCAAACATCTCTGGTATTCTCTGCTTTCAACCTAGATCCATATGACATCATCAATGCTATCCCTAGTTCCATGCCCACTAATGAATCTGTTTTGAATTTCTGGCAGTTCCCTGCTGATGCACTACTGGTTTTGAATTACCTTCAGCAAAATTTTACTTGCCTGTAATATTAATGATGTTGTCCGATGATTTCCGCATTTCACTGGGTCACCTCTCTTTGGAATGGGCACAAATATGGATCTGTTCCAATTGGTTGGCCATATAGTTGTCTTCCAAATATCTTGGCATAGATGACTGAGTGCCTCCAGTGCTGCATCCGTTTGTTGAAACCTTTCCATTTATATTCTGCCAAAACCTGGAGTCTTTGTTTTCATCAGTGCCTTCAGTGCAGTTTGGTCTTTTTCCTCAATACAACTTGGACTTCAGTACCATCGATTCTTGATCATATGCTGCCTCTTGAAATGGATGAATATTGACCAATTCTTTTTGGTGCAGTGACTGTGTGTTCCTGCCACCTTCTTTTGCTGTTTTTTGCATCGTTCAATAGTTTGCTCATGGAGTTCTCTACTATTACAAGTTGAGGCTTGAATGTTTTGGTGATATCTAAATGAGTTGTAAGTTTCAAAGTCTTCTAACGTAGTTAGCAATCAGTCATAGTGATCAAATTGTGTTTTATGTCTTCTGTTCCTGATTCACTTCAATCCAGCTGCTTACCTTTTAACTATAGCCCTAGTCTTTAATCTCTCCCTTCCATGAGATAGGGAAAGACAGAACACATAAAACACAATTTGATCACTGTAACTACCTGCTAAGTAAATTTCTATTATGGAAGACTTTGAAACTTGTGGCTCTGTGGATTAATGTGCTGGACTGCAAAGGTGGTTACAACTTCAAGATCTGCAGTTCAAGCTCACACAATCGCTCCTAGGGAACCTTTTCCAGGGTTGCTATGGGTCAGAACCAACTCAACAGCACATAACAACAACAACAATAACACAGACCTGGTATAGCGTTGTGGCATAAAGCACTGCACTGCAAGGTCAATTTGAACCCTGGGTTTGTGGTTCAGACTCACCAGCTGCTCCTTGGAAAGCTTATACAGGGTCACTATGAGTCAGAACCAACTCGATGGCACTTGACAACAACAAACACAAAAAACAAGCTCATTGTTGTCCAGTCAATTCCGACTCACAGTGCTCCTACAGGAGTAGAAATGCCCCCTAAATCCTTATGGAAATAAAGTGCCTCATCTTTCTAGCAAAGGGTGGCTGGGGTCAAGCTACAGTTAGTTAGCAGGTGAACTCTTAATCACTGTGCCACCGAGGCGTATTCCATTTTAAAGAAAGAGGTGGTTAATTTAACCAAAATTACAACCCAGATTTACTATGCCAGAAGCAAGGGGCAATTGTTGTTGTTGTTAAGTGCTGTCAAGTTAGTTCTGACCCATAGCAACCCTGTATAGGGTTTCCAAGGAGCAGGTGGTGAGCTTGAACTGCCAACCTTGTGGTTCAAAGCGACTTTGCAGTCTGGCGCATTAACCCACAGCACCACACTAGGACTCCAACGGATAATAATACTTTAAAAAAAAAAGTTAATAGTAATTTTTTTCCTAAACTTATAAAACTTTTTTTGTATTATAAAAGTTATATATACATGGTTGCTATAAACAGCAAGCAGAAATGTATGAGAATGCATTTATTATATTATCTCAAACTATAAATATTCCCATTATTCATTTGTATTTGAAAACTGTTTTGTTTTGGTTCGTGAGTAATAAGTTCATGAGTACTAAGTTTCCTTTACTGTTTTCCTTTCATATTTGCTTCAAAGGCCGTACAAGACGTTCTAAAAAGCTGCAGCATGTAGCCTTAGGGCAAGGAGTTGGCCATTCTTGCTCTGTGGATTTCAGATTGTTTATTTTTATTCCTCATTAGCACAACTGAAACATAATCAATACCCCCAATTTTACTCTCACCCTGTAGCATGAGTTCTGCATGTACTGAAAAGGGTCATGTGGCTGTGCTTTGGAGAAAGATTGCATGCAAGAAAATGCTCACGGTGCATATTTGCTGCGTATTTCTGTGACTAGAATTGACTTTTTTTTTTAATTCAGGGAAATTTTACAGAGCAGATCATCAGTTTTACATTGAACAAATCATACACTTTGTTTTCTTTTAGTGGTTACAAGAAATGAATTTAGTACAGAAACATGTTTCAGGCAAGCTTTTAAAATATATATATACTTAATATCTGCTTTTGATAAAATAAAATATGCTGTATGTTTTGTGCAATTGGCCCCAGCCATAAATGCTTTGAGAGCAGCTACTAAAAATTACCCAGGTTGTTCGAAACGTTATATGGAATTGCAGAGATATCTTAAATCTTTTTTGGGGGTAATTTTGGGGTAATTTTCTCAGCCACTGGGGCTATCTGTATTAGTTTCAAATACATTCTGACATAATATACTTTATTTCTCTCTATCTCTAGATCTATCTATACCGATAGAGATAGAGATAGATAGATACAGAGAGAGAGGCAGAGAGAGCTGGTATGGCATTGCAGGATAATGTGCTAGACCACAAGGTCAGTTTGAGCCTCAAGGTCAGCAGTTCAAACCTACCAGCTGCTCCTCAGAAACCATGTACAGGGTGATTATGAGTCAGAACCGAATCCACAGCACTTAGCAATATATATATATATATATATATATATATATATATATATATATATATATACCACAATTTCAAATGGGTGACACCTTTCTCTCCTCTTCAGGAAAGGGAATATTTGGTTAGCACTGGGTGGGCCTGGCCATCTAAATTCTAGAAAAAGATCCACAATGTGACATCTCAATATCAGTGAAGGAACCAAGCTACCACAGCAAGTTGATTAGAATTTTATTTATTGAAGATCATTAAAAATAGGGTCCATAGGAATGGAAGTCCCCCAAAAACCAGTACATGAGGAATCACAAAATTGAAATGGTCTGTATCAAAAAGTAAAATAATCAGGTGCCAAGAGTGAATGAGTCACACGCACATGAGCTGGTGAAAGAGCTTGAACTCAAGAGACCACATCAGGCAATGCTGCTGAATACCATCACATGATGTGCCCTGAGGCCCTGTATTTAATTAAAATACAGGGAGTGGGCCTCCACTGAGACCAGAGCACTGGTGTCTTAGGGAATGGGGCAAGAGGAATTAATCGCCAAAACTAGATTGTCTGCGTCTGTGAGGATTCAGCATGGAATGTCTCTACTGTTTGCTGGGATTCCTGCTTCTGGCTGCAAGATTGCCGCTCGGTGTCGCCAAACGTGAGTAATTCTCAGTTTCTGTGTTTAACCATTCCCTGACAAGTGGCTGATGTGGCAGGGGTAATGATGTGCTCTAGGCCAGAAAGTGATAAGCAGCTCCTCAAGCAAACTTCACAACCTCACTTGTTTCTTCTGGAAACCTATGGGGATTCTGAAACTACAGACAGACCTTGTTTCGTTGCACTTGGCTTTGTTGTACATTGCAGTAGCTGCATTTAAAAAATTTTTTTTGTTGAAGGTTTGTGGGAAATATGTCCTCGCCATTTTACCAACAGCATGTGATCAGGTTGTGTCTCTGTTTCGTGTTTTGGTAATTCTCACAATATTTCAAACTTTTGCATAATGCATTTAATAGACTACAATATAGTGTACATGTAACTTTAATATGCACTGGAAAAACAAAACAGTCATGTGACTCACTTTATTGCAACATTCGTTTTATTGTTGTGATTTGGAACTGAATCCACAATACCTCCAAAGTATGCCTGTATAGCAAAATGCCACAGGCTTATTCTTTGCTTCAGGTTTATGGCAAGTCTTACAGAGTTTTGTTTCTACTGCAATTGCTACCCACCCTCCTGCCAGACAGCAGGTCTGAGTGAGGGTTACAGTCCCTAGCTCCAGAACAAAGCCCATCTCTCAACTAAGCTTCCTCTGGTTTCCATCTAATAGGGTAGAAACCTCGGATGAAACGGGGCCCAAATCTGCAGACAGACACTCTAATAACCCCATCCCAGAAGTGGTTTCCTATTCCACTGCTCTTCACAGACTTGTAGGAACCTGCTACCGCTAGTAATGTAACTGAGAGAAAAACCCAAGTCCTGGTTCTCTACCCAGGTTACACATTCAAGGCTGTTGGACTTTTAACAATGATGATGACATCAGAGTCTTTGGAGATAGGGATGGAGCATCCTGTCTAAAAAGTTCTTGTGATTTGAACGCACAGCCAGGGTTGAGAACCCTGTGACAGAGCCCAGCCCGCTTGTCCACTGCAGAGATTGGGGTGGTGATGGCAGTCCCTGTCCTCCAGGGGCAGAATTAGTGTGGGGCAGGAGAAGGAAGTGGCTTATGTCACCACACTGCAGTAGAACAGTGACATTCGATAGGCGAAAAATCCAGGGGCTCCTGATTCTACCAGACAACTCCATGGGAACAAGACAAAGTTAAAGGAAAAAAATGCTGATCTAGGGGGTCAGTCTCTGTGCTTACCACAGCAATTACATTACTCATGTAATCCACACAACCACCTTTATGGAGCAGATGTACCTCTTCCTAGTCCACAGGTGACAACCCCAAGAGCCTGGGTCTTGCTTTTCACCTGCTGGGACAACCAGCCAGGGCTGTCTGCACACATCTTCCTTCTACTCCTTCACCCTGTGGGACAGGAAAGTCCTTTAATCAGGTGGCCCTGGATAGTGCTAACTGCCTGTGCTCATCTACAAACCAAAAGTTTGGTTCAAACCAAAAGTACCAGGGAAGAAAGGTTTAGCACTCTGCAGCCATAAAGATTACAGTCAAGGAAACACTGTGGAGCTCAGTTTACTATGTAACACATGGTGAGGCCATGTGGCCCAGCTGACTCCACTGCAACATGCTTGGTTTGCTTTGTGGAGTTGGATCAGGGGTGGGATGCACTGGTGGGGAAAGGAAGAGTGGAGAAGACGCTGGTAACCTTGAAGCCACAACAGGCCTGCGCCCCTTGCTACATTGGTGGGGGTGCCTAGAGAGGCCGTGGGGGTGAGAGTGGAGAGTAGAGTCGGGGGAGGAAGGGGACCCCTGGCAGGCAGGCGGAATGGGCAGGCAGATGTGGTGCCAGGTGGAAGACAGGGTCTGTAGGGGAGGGGAAGTAGTGGAAGCCGGAGCCCTCCATCCTGCCGTCTCCTCATCTGCGACTGAGGTCCTGAAAAGATGTCCCTATTTAGACGAGAGAATCCGAACACAGGATTGTTGCAGGCTGATTCCAGGGCCTGGAGAGTCACCGAAGGGTACTAATGAACTGCGATCATAATTATCCTGGGGTTTCACAGTTGAGAAACAGGTTGCAGAAAGGGCAAAAAACTCGGCCCAGGACACACACTTGGTAAGCGGACGAGGTGGACTTCCATCCTGACGCCTGCCCTTGCTAAGAGGGTTTGGAGTTGGACGAATTCTGGGTCCCTGCCTGCCGTGGAGTTAAACCACAAGTGATTGTGTTTTGTTTTCATTTCCTCATTTGTAAAACTGGGTAATATTGTCCTTGTAAGATGTGTGAGAGGAACTGTAACCGAAAGTTCTGGGTATGAAAGACATGTTATCATTAGCTGCAGTGGAGCCCTCTGACTCAAGGGACCTCGAGTGCCACAGTGTAAAACTGCTCCAGACAGATACAGTCTGTACTGTAATCTGTATGGAAGCAGATCACCAAGCTATTCTTCCTAGGCATCGATGGGTGAGTTCCAAATGCAACATTTTGATCAGTAGGAGGCTTGTGCCACCCACGGTCAATCAGAGTGCAGACCTGCACCCCACATTCATTGTACCTCCAGGAACAGAGTCACTTAGAGTCTGAAGTTCTAGCAAATAGGCGCAGAAAACTGACAGGTCAGCGGAAAATGGGGTACCTAATTCTAGGCCACCTTCTCTCTGCTATCATCACTTTGCTCAATCAAATTAGCCAGAGGTGGAATACAGGCTATCAGTTTGAGAGGATTCCTCCAGCCTTTTACATGGTGTCAAAATCCAGGCACACTTGGCTACAGTTGGCCCCAGACTAAGTATTCTGGCCAGGAAAAATAAGAATTGGTAGGATTTAGTAACATATCCAACATCAGGGGAGTCTTTGCCATGCGTCATACATTTCTGATCAGAGCCCTGGTATAGAGAAGGAAGGAGGAGGTATTGATAGAGCAGTAACCAAGCAGCCCTAGCCTCTGTCTCTGCTCTGGACAGAATCCCGAGTCCAGAGTGTGGCAGGGAAGTGTGATTCCGTACTTACATTCATATCCCCTTCCGCCTGGTCCGTTTCTCTCTTGAAGTTTGCTTACTATTGTTGTTGTTAAGTGCTTTGGAGTTGGTTCCTACTCATAGCCATGCTGTATAGGGCTCCCAAGGCTTAAATCTTTGTGGGAGCAAGAAGTAGCTCTTGCAGCTGGTAGGCTCCAACCAAAGATCTTGTGGTTCACAGTTCAGTCTAATCGTATGGAGCCACTGCACTCCCTATGATTACTACTGAGTTTGCTTCGTCTTATTTCACTTTTAAATTCAGCATTTTGTTTTAAGATCATTGTAGACTGACATGCAGAAGTAAGGTAGGGAAATACCCTTAACCTTTTCTAATGGTGACATCTTGTAAACAATTGTACAATCTCATAACCGGGACATTGACATTGAGACAGATGAGACACAGAACGTTTCCTTTATCACAAGTATCTTAACCTGGGTTCTCTGGAGAAGCAAAACCAGTGACGCTTACGTGTGTATGGTGGTTGGTGGTGGTGATGTGCCATCCATTCAGTTCTCACTCATAGCGACCCTGTATGGGGTTTCCAAGGCTGTAAATCTTTATGGGGGCAGAAAGCCTCATCGTTCTCCCATGGAGCATCTGGAGGACTCGAACTGCTGACTTTGCAGTTAGCAGCCCAACACATAACCATTATGCCACCAGACTCTTGTATGTGTGTATCTAGCTACAGAATTTATTTTAATCAACTTTTAGAAAAGACAAATACATTATTTTTCAACATCATCTCCTTGCGTTTCAATATACTTTGCCCGTCTATCAACAAGCTTTTGTATTCCCTTATTTTAAAATGTTTTAGGCTGAGCTGTGAGCCACGAATGTACCTCTGTCTTCACTTCTTCATCAGAGGTGAATCTTTATCCTCAAAGGTATGCTTTCTGGGGACCAAACAGGTGAATAACTGATGGAGCAAGATCAGGACAATAGGGAGAATGCTTTAACACCTCAAAACAAAGTTTTTGCAGAGTGTCACCAGTTTGGGCAGAGGTGTATGGATGTACATTGTCATGCAAGATCACAATGCCCTTGGATAGCAGTCCTCTGCATTTAATCTGAAGTTTAGGCTTCAGCTCTTCAGTGAGCATCTCACTGTAGTAAACACTGTTGATTGTTGGACCTTTTTTCCTGATAGTGTTCAATACTGGCCGTTGAACATCCCAAAAAAACTGTAAACATCAATTTGTGAGCTGATGGTTGGCTTTTGAACTTTTTCTTGGCTGGCGATTAAGGACGTTTCCATTCCATATGTTTACTCTCAGGATTGTACATAGGATCTTGTCACCAGTAACAATTTTTTTTTAAAGCAACTTTTACCTTCCTTGGAGCATCGATTCAAATTTTGTTTGCAGATGTCTAAACGCTTCTGTTTATGCTCTTTCATGAGCTGTTTCAGTAGCCATCTCGCAAAACTTATTTCATAGGCAGATCCTGGCTGATTTACAAATCATTTGCCACATAATCCACTGTCATTCATCTCTTTGACAGTCATTTCACATGCTCAGTGTCATTAGCCATGGACATTGATGGACATTTTAATATAACCAGAGTGCTGATAATTTTTTTTACTTATCCTTGTATATTGTTGCTAAGGAGTCCTGGTAGCATAGTGGGTTACAAATTGAACTGCAAACCACAAGGTCAGAAGTTCAAATCTACCAACTACTCCACTGGAGAAAGATGAGGTTTTCTGCTTCCCAAAAGACTTACAGCCTCTGAAACCTTATACAGGGTCACTGTGAGTCCAAACAGATTCCATGGCACACAACCATCACCACCACATATTGTTGTGGTTGTTATTAAGTGTTGTCAAGTTGGTTCCGACTATACATACTCACAAACTTATATGTATATGGTTTCCAAGGAGCAGCTAGTGGATTTAAATCACCAACCCCATATATGGAGTCCTAAGGAGCTCTGGTAGAGTAGTGGTTTTGAGTCAGCCTGCTAACCTCAAGGTCAGCAGTTCAAAACTATCAGCTGTTCCCTGGGAGATAGATGAAGCTTTCTGCTCCTGTAAAGATTGACAGCCCCTCGGAAACCCTACGCAGGGTCGCTATGAGTCAGAACCAACTCCATGGCACACTACCACCACCAGTGTGGCACTGTAAGATAAGCACTGGACTGATAACTACAACATCAGTTGCAGTTCACTCCCTGAAAACCCAATACAACAAGAGATTTAAAGCCTCAGAAACTCTATACAGTGTCACTGTGAGTCAGAACCAACTCCACAGCACTTAACACCACCAACAACACACACATATATGTATACAAGCCTGATGTAGTGTACCGTGGAGTTGGTTCTGATTCATAGCAATTCTATATAGGGTTTCTGAGAGCGAAATCTTTACAGGAGCAGAAAGCCTCTTCTTTCTTTCCCAGAGTTGCTGGTGAATTTGAACTGCTGACCTTGTGGTTAACAGCCCATCATGTAACCCTCTATGCTCCCAGGGTGCGCTCTCTCTCTCTCTCTCTTTCTATATATATATAAAAAACTCACCAGCTGTTCCCTATACAGGGTTGCTATGTATCAACCAACTCAACAGCACTTAACAACAACAATATATGTGTATCGTTGTTACATGCGGTCAGTTCCGACTCATAGTGATCCTGAATAGTGTTTCCGAGGCTGTGAGTCATGGTGTATACATGCTTAATAGCAGAACTTCAAAATATACAAAGCAAAACTGAAAGAAGGAATAGTCAAATCGAGAATTTCAGTCATTGAAACAACAAGAAAACAGAAAATCAGTAGGGCGATACCAAAACCAAACCAAGCCTATTGCTGTTGAGTAGATTCTGACTCCCAGTGACCCAACAGGACAGAGTAGAATTGCCCCATAGAGTTTACAAGGCTGTCATCTTCAAGGGAACAAACAGCCCCATCTTTCTCTGTTAGGTGGGTTCCAACCACCAACCTAACAGTTAGCAGTTGAGGCTTTAACCACTGTGCCACCAAGACTAGAAAAATACTGTTAACCAACTTAACACAAATCACACGTGTCCATGGAACATTCACCATAGGCTGAGCCATAACAGATGGGGTTACAAATCTTTAGAGCAAGGATCATTCCCACCCCCTCAGTATACAGGGTTGACAGGGATGGGCAACTTAGATATTGGCTACCCAAAATGGGGGGACTACAAAGGCAAGAAGTGACTGGCTTACAAGCTTTCAAGAGGGAGCCTAGATCCAGAGGGCATGGAGGAAGGTAGAATCTCCACAGAGTGGTCTCAAATCTTTCTGGGCAGGGCTGATGAAAGGAGATGGGGATAGGTTTCTTGTGGTATGATAGTGAATAATTGTTATCAGGACTGACTGTGAGGGTTGGAAATGTAAAGGTAGACATTTTGTAGCAAAAGGAGGGGAGTCCTCCACACACAGAGTAGACAGGGATAGGCAACTTGGACATTGGCTACCCAAAATGGGGGGTGGGGGGCTACAAAGGCAAGAAGTGACTGGCTTACAAGCTTTCAAGAGGGAACCTAGATCCAGAGGGCCTGGAGGAAGGTAGAATCTCCAGT